GAGGTCAGAGGGAGAGACAGGCCTGCTCAGCAGTGGCCTTGAAGCTTAGGGAGGAGTCTGAAGAATGGGTTTGGATTGCACTTGTCTGTGGGTTTGTGCGAGGGACTGTGTCAGTTATGTGTACAAATGTGTTTTTGAGTCTGTGTGAGTTTTGGGGCATATGTCTACTGGGGCATGTCTGACTCAGGGTGTTCATGGGTTAATGTAGGTATGTTTCCTACACATGTTTGTGTGTGCTCTGAAAATTTTTCTGAGTGGCCAGGGTGACCTTGCGTCTTTTCTCGTATGTACCTGTGTGGCTGAGTGTCTGTCTTTGTCTCTCCGTCTCTGTGTGTGTATGATCTCCTCTGTCTTCTCACTTCTCTGTCTGCCCCTCTCCAGCCCCCCCTTTGCCTGACACACCCCAGCTGCCAGCACTATTTACCGCAAGCAATGGCTTCCCTTCCCGCTGTCTGGATTCCCATGGTCAGGCTGCCTGCCCGGGGCCCTGCCCCTGTGGCCTCTGTAGGGGGCCTGACCTTGGAAGTGATACACTCTGGAAATCCCCTAATGTGCTCCTTGCCTGGTCCTGGATCCAGAGAAGTTACAGTGAAGGAGGGGCACGTGGAAGGGAAGGGGGCCTGTTGGCAGCACCCACCCATCCTTCTGGAAACAGCATCTTTCTCTGGCCAGTCCTTCTCCCCATGCTTTTATCCCAACCAAGTATTCAGGGTCCTGGCCTCTCTGTCTGTGGGTTTGGGAATGCACAGTCCTCTGCAAACCCAGTTAGACCTGGTGAGGATCTGGCACTTTGTGTCCCCAGCACCCTACGTGCCTGTGTTATGCTTATTTCTCATGTCCTCATTGAACTCAAGGTTGTCCCCCCTTCTCTCCTCTTCTTGCAGTGAACACAGGAACCATTCTTGTCCTTCCTTCTATAACAGGACTGGCCTAAGCCATGGGTTCCAGAGTCCAGGCAAAGTATTAAGTTTTGGTTGGCTGATAGAGAAGCAGAGGTCCAAACAACTCCCCATGGTGCAGGAAGCAGCATCTCCAGGGGGTTTATTCTTGTGCTCATCCTGTGTTCTTGCCCTTCCTGCCTGGGCTTCAGTGACTGGCAAAAAAGCCAAGCAGCCTTTTTAACACTCCCTGTTGGTTTTGACCCAGCCTTGAACAGAAATGATATTGTGGAGAGGCCACTGTCCTCCCTCTGTTGGTGGCCCCTTGCCCGAGATTCCTTCTAGACAGTTCTGAAATGACTTCTGGAGGGCCTAAGGAAAGGGTTCTAGAAGGTCAGGCCATTCAACATATCACAATGTGGTAGAGGTGAACCCCAAAGTTCCCAAGCACTAGTGCATTCCTAGCATCTACCCCTAGTTCTGGAGTAGCAAATTCTTGAATGTATGTGTCTTCTGATTTCTCCTCTCTTGAGTTGAGGGAGAGGTAAAGGGTGGTGTTGTGCTAGGGTTATGGGATAGCAGGCTTCATCCTCCATCAGCATACTGTGTGGATCTCAGACTGCTCCTGTTCTCTCAGATCTTGGCTTTGTTGAGAACTCAGGATCCAGGGATCTCAGTTGAAGCTCAATTCTTCCTTCAGCTCTTTGTTATGGGGCTTTGTTCAGCAACATGGGCATAAGGCAGGTAGGAGCCTGTGGGGGGCCCTGGGAAGGGCCTTCTCCACCCTAAGCCAGGATGTGTGCACACTAACCCGGCTTCCCACCTGATGCCACTGTGACCCTTCTGAGTGAATTCCATTCATTCTGGGCCTCCCTTAGTGTCCTATCTCTGTGTCCCTCTGTACTCCCACCAGGCAGAGAGGATGTGCCTGTCCCAAGGCCTTCTTTGATCTCTGGGGATGCTTCAGGAAAACACCTGCAGAGTATTGGCTCAGCAGGCCTGGGCCTTGTGCCTCCTTCCCTGGGGGCCAGTTAGGGTCTGGGCCTCCATCCTTTTAGGCACAGAGTCACCATTCAGAGGAGGGACTCATTCATGCTTCTTCCCATCTGGGGTGCTGCATCCTGTCACAGTGGACACATTGTGCTAATCTGTGTGGTCTATTAAAGGAAGCAAGTCCTGCCACAACTTCCTCCTGGTTTGACAGGATGCTGAATGATTCTGGATTTCCTTAGGAATGAGGGGCATCCCCTATCCCTCAAACCACATGATAAGAAAGTCCAGCATTTTCTTTTCTTTCTCAAGCTCTTGACATCTCTGTGGTAGGTGGAAGGAGAATGCAGAGGTGCCACCTTCTGAGGGACATTAAGTGGCTAATACAGGTCTATCTTATCTACTCAGGGCAGCTTATTGTCTTCCTGCTTCCCAGCTTTCTCCTCTCACACCCAATCCTCTCTGGTCCCTTGCTGAGCACTAGGATGCCACATGCCCCTTTTCATTTTTTATTAGCCCCTTGCTGTTGTGCAGGTTTGATGCATTTGGTGTTTTCTCTGGGGTCTTTCCTGTTCCTCCAGTGTTGCAAGAGCACCTGCTTCACACACATAATCTGAAACTTCAACCACTTTTTGGTGTCCGCTTGGGCTCTCATACTGGGACCAATAACTTAAACCCCAATTGAAATTTTCTGTGGTAACTTCCAGAATCCCTCTCTACCTCCATTTTTTTGGCTTTGACTCTCTGTATAGCTCTCACCCTTGTGGTCCTTTCCTAGATTCTTATTCACCCCTCTAGGTCTTTGTCTATGCTCTAATTAATTGTGGAAGAAATCTTTATTCTTCTGATCCACTAACTGCTCTCTCATTAATACTATGTTCTTTGTGTTTACATAAGCAAAGTGTCTGTACTTTAGCCAAAGCTGGCCCCTCACCCTGGGGACTTGCTCCCATTCCTTCATTTCTCCCACTCATTCATGGTTTCAGCAGCTCTTCCCTTGTTCTCCTACATCATTAATTTATCCCCTTTAATTGCATCTTTTCCATAAACATTCATTATTAATTTGTGCAAACTTTTGGAGCATATCTTTTTGGTGCTATTGCCTCATATTTATGCATCTTATTTTGACCAAACCTCTTGAAAGAATTAAGTTTGCTGTCACCAGTTGCTCTCATTCCATTCTGTCTTGAGTCCCCTCCAGCCATGTCTTCATCTGCATCACGTACATGAGGCTATTCTTCAAAAGTCATAATCTCTTTGTGGCTAGATCTGATGGTCCCCGTCTTCTTTGGCTTTCCGTGCAGCCAATCACTTTGTCTTTGAAAGATGTCATCTTTTGGCTTCCAGTGTACCACACTCTTGGTTTTTCTGCTACCTCAAGGGCTATTGCTTTTCAGTTTCTTCTTACTGGTTCTTCCTATGTTTTCCAACTTAAAATAAAAGTATCCCACGACCCAGTCCTTAGATCTCTCCTTCATTTACATTCACTACCTTGGTGATCTAACCTCGTATTATGGTTACATCTCTTTCTCTCATGAATACAGGATTCTCTTTGGGGACATCATGTTTCTGTGTTGAGGATAGACTGTTTAGGGTATGGTCTCAGGATGCTGCTGCTTCAGTTTTGATACACTAGAGGATGTGGTAAGTCATAGTCTGGATACATTTTTGAAGGTAGGGACAACAAGGATTTATTGATGGGTTGGATGTGGACTGTTAAGGGGAAAAGTTATGGATGTTACATTCCACTGTACATGATCTGAACAACTGGAAATATGGAACTGCCATTAACTGATGTGGGAAATATGATCAGAGGGGTTTGATGTGTGTGAGTGGGTGGGTGTGGAGCAGATTTCAGGAATTCATTTTTGTATAGTTTGAGATGAATATTTGGTTTCCAAGTGTATATACTGAGTAAACAATTTGGTCATGTGTCTATCACATGATATGAGATCAGGAGCTCCACATGGCAGGGCTGTGTCTTTTCCAATGTTGTGTTTGTAGTAGTACCTGACATGTAATAAGTACTTAAATATTTAATTTTTGAATACAAGATACTTCTTAAGGTCATTTTATTGTGACAGTTCCTTCTCATCAACTGAGTACTTCCTCCTGCGTCAGGGCTTCATAATTCATAGAATTCATCACATGATGTAGTGCTTTGTCTAGATCTTGGATGAAACTAATATAAGTATCATTATGCACTAGACACAGTTAAACCAAAACACTAGAGAGACCAAGAGATCTCTGAAATAAAAGGGCTTATCAAGCCATTACAGATACTAGCCAGAAAAATAAAGAATGAGTTCCTGGGACAAGTTTTCACAAATTCCAGCAGCAGAACTAGGTTGGAAAATGTCCACTAAACTGGAGCCAAATATATATATATTTTTTTAAAGAGTGAGAGAGAGAGAGAGAGAGAGAGAGAGAGAGAGAGAGAGAATTTTTTAATATTTATTTTTTAGTTTTCGGTGGACACAACATCTTTATTTTATTTTTTTGTGGTGCTGAGGATTGAACCCAGCGCCCTGCACTTGCCAGGCGAGCGCACTACCGCTTGAGCCACATTCCCAGCCTCAAACCAAATGTATTTTTAATAAACTGTGGGAAAAGAAAGCACCTTAACCTACATTTGCCATGGATAATAAGGGCACAATAATGGGAATTAGGCAATGTTTTGGGATAGGAGGAAAATGTATAAGAAGTATTGTCTGGATAGGTTGGGGATGAAGTTCAGAAAGTTTATATGTAAACAGAACATGGTGGCGATGGGATTTTAAGTCAACACTAATGGTCCTTTTGTTGATTCCATCTGCAGCTAGTAACTGATTAATCTCCTATCTTCTTCATACCACCCTCTGGACTTTGTAATTAAATTTAGGACAATTCAGAATTATTCTTTCCACTATCCTTGATCTAAAATAGTGAGGTAAATGTGGATGGTAAATTATTGGAATAGCCCAACGTTTACCTTCAATATGCCTTACTCAAGTCCCTGATAGGGAGCAGTGCAATAGTGTCCCTTCTGAAATGTGGCTGAAAACTCCTTTCCTACATAGGAAGGACTTTCTAGCCCTCTTCATGCCACCTTTTAACAAAGTATAATGGAGACAAAGAGACAGACAACTCCGCTTAGAGATATAGAGTGTATTTCAGGTGGTGCTCTGCTACACCTGTTCATCAATGGAAAAGAAAATAGCGCTCTTCAAGGAATGCCCAGGTTGGGGAGCCTCGAAACACTTCCTCATTGCTTTGGGAGTTCTCTGGAGCAGGACGATGTTTCAGAGCTGAGGGCTGGGAGCTAGGGGAGGCTCCCTGGATGGGAGGCACAAGCCACTCGAGGACAGTGCCGAGGGCAGTGGCGGGGATGGCCCAGGGTTGAGGCAGAGCCATGCTGTCGGGAGCGTAGCCGGAGCTTACTGTCTGGGGAATGGGGACCATTTAAGGCAGCTGGGCCTACAGGCTTCTCAGGGGAGGCTGAACGGGCCTTGGTATCTAAGAAGGTCAGGCCCACTGGCTTCTCAGGGCAGGCTGAACGGGCCTTGGGGTGCCCACTTGGCTTCTCTGTCTTAGTTCTCCCCATGGGGCTTTTGGCTGGAATGAGGCTCTTTTCAACATTTTCTTTTCTGGTTTTGGACACTTTCCCAGCTTTGGAGAACATGGACTCTACGTGCCCTTTGCCTTTCTTCTCAGGGGTAATGCAGTGCAGAAAGGATTTTATTTTATTTCTCAAGCCAGTCTCTGGAACGATGGGCTTCTTGTGAGAATGGGCTGGCATTGCCTTCCCCTGCAAGACCTGACTGTGCAGAGTTTGGCCCTGCAGAGGTTTACCCTGAATTTTCTGGGGGAGGAAAGACTTGTCCTGGGAAATGCGAGGCACCACGGGCTGGGCATTCTTAGGGTTCCTTGTGGGCTCAGGGATGACATGTGGCTTGCTTGGACTGTCTTGCCTGTCAGGCTCAGATTCTTTCCCCCCAGGAACTACTGGGGGTGGCTCTGGGGACTGCAGCTGAGGGTGATGCTGGTGGCTAGGTGGACAGGGATCCTCAAGAAGAAAGCTCTGGTTCCATCGCCAGGAGCCTTGGGATGTCCTGTTCATCCTTTCTGGCCTCTGATCTTCAGCAGGGTGTCTTTCTTCACTGACTGAGGAGATCCCAAGCCCTGCATCCCCTTCTCCAAGGTCCCCTGCTGCCTTGGGTTTCCCTGGGTCCTCTTTGTTTTCTGCCAGTGCCAGGACTTGGGCTGAGTCCTTGATCTTGTCAGGACTTTGGAGCTCAGGGCTCCAGGGTTCCTCCAGGATGGGGTTGTTCACACTGGCCTCCACCTGAACGCAAAGTATCTGGGCCTGGGTCATGTTCGCACTGAGTTGTGAGATCTTGGAAGCCCAGTCGGGTGATCCATGGGGCACTGGTTTGGAACTAAGTGACTTTAGGTTGTGCTGTACTGCCTTCAACTCAGTGGCCAGCTGTTTTTTAAGGGGGATCCATTCTGAGTCTGGGGCATGAGGAGACTCTGGTGTGATGGACAGTTCCTGGACTACTGTGCTTTCTGGGGTGCTTAGACTCCCAAGAGACTCCTGTGTGGATTTGTTCTCTGTGAATCCTTCAGTCGGTTCCCTGTTCTCCCTTATCCTTATGGAAATTCCCAGGTGTATCTCTATGACCTTTTTTCTCAGGTGAAAATTTAGTTTGGCCAGGATGTGTGTCTTGGATGAGGAAGGGATAGTAGGAAGAGTCTGGCTCCTTGGAGTCACCATCTCTGTCATTTCTTCTACCCGAACTTCAGGCTGGAACTCCTCTGTGTTGTCTGCCCAAGTCTCATTGTCATCTTGAAAGCGTGGTTCAAGCCTCCTGCAGGGGTCTTCAGATGAGATCATCTGAGTCAGTGGAGGAGTCGGAGGCTCCTCTGGGATTTCCACAGGCCCAGACACCATCTCTGTGATTACAGGTTGACTACAGATTGCCGGAGCCATGGCCCTAGAGAGGGCCACACAGTACAGAGCAGGCAGGCCTGACAGGAAGACCAGATACTTGTGCCGCAGCATGGTTTCCAGTTTCTCAATGGCTGTATCAGACAGGACTCGGGGCAGCTTAGGGTGTTCAGTGTCAGCACTTGGTAAGGCCTGCTGCTGCTGCTGATCAAGGGCCACTGGCATCCAGGGCATAACTTTGGGCTGTGGGTCAGGTTCACTTGCTGCCTGCAGTTCCGGGTGCTGGCTTTGTGGAATGCAAGGGAAGGGAGCCACTGCCAGGCCTCCAGGAATTCTGCATTCCCAGGAGCTGAATACACAGGCAGGGACCTGGCCCTGGTGGATCTGTCCACATTTGGAGTCGATGTGGCTCTGCAATATTTCCTTGGCTTGGGCAAACAAGTGTGGCATGGGGGTGGGCATTTGGGCTACCATGGGTGAGAATAGGACACCAGCTTCACTGTCGTCTAGGGTTGCAAGCGGGGGCATGCTCACCCTGGGTAGGGCTGTACTGCTCCAGGTCAGGGTCTGCTGGTCAGTGGAGGAAAGGAGCAACTGGATGGACTGCTGAATCTTTGGGGGCAGGCCCCAGCGATGGTGGATCAACTGCTTCTGGAGATGGAATTCCAGCAGCCTGCGGGCATGCTCTGGGAAGAAGAGCAGTTCCCTGGTGAGGACTGAGAAGGACTTTCCTGGCCAGGAGGTCTTCATGGTCTCAGGAGGTTGGATTTTGTCACATGTTTCATACTGCTTGGGACCTGGAGCATGCTGAGATCTCTGGAAGACTGTTGGCAGGCCCCACTGAAGCTGGAGTTGCCTCTGCAGCAAGTGCCATTCCAAGGCTTCACACTCAGCTGTAGTCAGAAATGGGACACTGACCTGATTCTCAGAGGGAGACATCCAATTTGGGGAGGTTGGGGGTGAGGCTGGGGGTGAGGCTGGTAGTGAGGCTAGGGGTGAGGCTGGGGCTGACTCAGGTGGAGTATTGGACAGCAGGGAATGGAGCTCACTGAAGAGAAGAGGACCATTCAAGGGAGACTTGGGCACATTCTTGTTCCTGGAGAGACTTTTAGAGTCCAAGAAAGTAGCAATCAGGGACTCACTGTGCATAGTAGGGAGGCCACAGAAGAGCTGGTTGTATTTTTGCTGCAAATTGCACTGTGAGTCATTATCCTGTTCCCCATGCAGTGAATAGAAGTCATTTAGTACGTTAAGGGCAGGAGAGGGTAGGGTTAGTACGTTATAGTTTTGAATTTGCTGACAGTGGCGTCTTTGTTCTGGATTTACATCAGACCATTCCGAAACCCAGATAGACTGAATGGGCTGTCCTGCCACAAATGAACCCCATGTCTGGTGGGAAATGGTTTTAATTTTGTCAATAATAACCTGAGAAGTCATGGAGGAAACCTGTGGGTTTTTTTCAGATCGGTAAAACAATGTTGGGTCTGGCATAAGCTGCCTGAGGGAGTCTTCGACACGCCTGGGGAGCCCCCACCTCTGGAAATGCATCCATTTTTTTACATGTACCTCAAGAAACCTCAGAGTTTTAGGATTGAGTAAAGGCAGGTGAACGGGGAGAACTGACTCCATTTCTAAGACCATAGGATGGGCCAGGTTAGTGATCCCTGAATTTGGTGATACTAAAGAAACCTTGGGCTTCAAGTGGTGATGAACTTGGTCCTCCTGGTCAAGGTAAGTGTTGTTCTGCATAATCTCCTGCTCATTCACTGTAACTATAGATTCCTCAAGCCTTGAAGAAGCCATAGTCTCTGGGCCCACTGGCCTATCTGCCAGTTGAAACTCCTGCTCTAACTTGAGGTGATCGGCCCAGTATTCTTGGATTCTGATTCCATCATTTTTCTGGGAAACTGTCTGGGTTAAGCATTTGTGTTCTATTAGTTGGCTTAGTGTTGGAGTTACAGATGCCACTGAAGAATCTCTGGAGTGCTGGGAATGGAGCTCCAGATTCTGCTCAGAAGACATACTTGACATGGACAACGTCTCTAGGCAAGAAGAGCCCCATGATGATCCCAGTAAAGTAGAGGGGATCTGGTTATTCTCACCCTCCAGCAATTGGTCAATCTCCAGAGCCACACCATTGCAGGTTTGGCAGTAGGGATCTGCACATAGAAGCTGCCGCACACTTTCCTTCTGAGGAAGCCATCCCTGGCTGGGAAGGAAAACATGGCAACCGTTAAGGATGGAGTGACATCTGCCTCTTTTCAAGAGTGTGGCTGGGGATTGCTACCCCATCCCTGAGTCCTACAAGAGCTGGGCCTATACTGTGGAAAATGAGGTCCTTATGGGAACTCGTCATTCTGAGAACTGTGGGATGCTATACCCTGCTGCTATACCCAGCATCTTTGGATATTATTCTCTTGAAATTTTAAGGAGAAAATAAGATGATAGGCTCCTGTATGAGGGATCCCAGGAACTGTCTTCCCTGAAGACAGACCAGAGGAGGTAATGTCAGTAGAGTCCAGCAAGACCCAGGAGTCGCCCTTGAAAGGGTATAAATGTAAGAGAGTAAGACATGCTGTGAACCTAGCACAGAGAAGAATTAGGTGACTGCCTCTTCCCTCCTGAGATACCTGGACTCCTTACTGCCATAGCAACTTTCTCAACCAATAAACTAGTCCCAACCATGCATGTCTCCTAACCAGCCATTATCCCTCTCCTCATCCCTGCCCCAGGCCTAGCTAAGAACTCATAGGGCAGATGGGGAGTTGAAAGACTGTAAAGAGCAAGAGATCACCTTTTCATGAAAGAGAGCAGCTCCTGAAGCTCCTCAGCTTCCTCTTGGGAAGGTCTCCTAACTGAGGAACCAGGACACAGTGTTATATGGTATAGGATTGTTTCAGGGGCCTCCTATAGGAAGCTCAATTTTAAGACCTTTGACTAAGCAAGAGGAAACTAAAAACTCAAGGTCAGTGCTCCAAGATATGTTTATGTACAGAATCACCATTTACAACATGATATCCCTTACCTAATGTCATATGATATTCACAATCACAGCGTGAGTGAGAGGGGATCATCAGCCTATTTAATGGATAAGACTGAGAGATGAAACAGTTCCTATAAGGTCATAAAACTAATAAATGACAGTTAAGGACATCTGCCTTACTTCTTCAATGATTTTTCTCAGGGTCATAAGGTAGTGAATTTTGGAACATTCCCATGTTCAGATTTCCCACCCATGGAAGTCCTCTGTGAAAGTCATCAATTTGGGGGAAATTGGAGCCTTCAGAGATTAGAACACCTGGATCCTGGTACCAGGGGTAGAGCGACAGATACTATATAGGAAGCTAGCCCACAGTGGGAGTCAAATGAGAGTTTGGGACTTTACCTCTTGACGCTGCATCTTTTTTCCTTTGCCTGACTTTTCGATGATGCTTGAAGACAAAAAAACATGAGAATGTGAGACTAGGATGCCATTTTCTTTTTCATGTCCAAAATGAGACAAAAACTCATATTTCCCATTCTCTTTCTCCATAGCTATCGCATTTTATACACTCTCCTACATTTCCTTTACCATATTCCACCTTTTTCCACCCCAACATTTCCCTTTTCTGCTTCACCCTTCTGATTCACTTCAAGATTCTGCATTCTTCATCCTCCTGTCCTCATGACAAGTTCTACAGAGAGTTTGGGATGACACAAGAAGAAAAGTGGAATAGATTAAAGGGTGAGCATTTCTAATGACCCAAGGACTTCTGCTTTACAAAACTCATCAATCAGAAAAATCCCCCATATTCGGAAGTCTTGAGATATAGTGGGGTAGACTTTATAGCACCTATTTCTCAGCTCAAGCCAAATAGGGAGGGTCTTGAGGCTTTTCATTGCATTGGAGGGAGAGCTGGTGAGGAATTAAATAGGTTCTCCAAACAAAAGCAATATACAAAGGTAACTGAAAGTATGGTATAAAAATGGGGTGGGGGGAGATTTAATACGGAGAAACACTGAAAACTTGAAAGCTTATCTGAGGCTTAAACTAGCTCAATTGTGGTGACAGTGTTTCCCTACCCGGCAGCAGCTCCTTGTAGGTTTGCGCTTCAATCCATAGTAACTCTGCCTAATTTGCCAGATAATTAGGATAAGGATGAAAAGAGAACCATAGGTATATAAGGGATATCCAGTGTCCCACAGAACAGATATAAGGCTCAACATGGCCTAAACTTCATTAGCATAAGGAGACCAACCATCTCCACAACTAGGCGTTCAGGGGCTTAGTGCCAAATGACTCCCAGTTCTTCACCCTTGTCATGTCCACCTCACAGAGGACAGAACAAGCTGCAGACTGCATCACAAAGCCCTCCTGTTTCACAAGGGAGGCTCATGTGGTGGTTCAGTCTGTAGGAGAAGGTGTCTGCTCCTCTGTGAAGGTTGCAGAGCCTGCGTCTAGAGGTGCCACACGCACATGTCTATTTCCCACTTTCTCTTCATTCTCCATTTCCCACACCAGGCTGCTGGCTCGGCTCACTCCTTTCACAACACATGTTTGGTCACCTGTCCTCAGAAAACTGAGTGCTTTTGTGACACAGGGGAGGGAAGGAAGAGTGGAGGAAGAGTGGCTGGGATGGAGGAACTTCACCAACTCCCCACTTGCCTGGAAATATAACTGAGAAGTGCACAGGAGTTTAGGGAGGTGAGCGAGTGGTTATGGCTTGCAAATGGAGAGCTTTGATATTTCTGGCAATGGGTGACAAGAAATCAGAAATGCAAGGAGAGGAGACCATGGCTGATGAAAGGCAGGGTTGGCTGTATCTTTAAATGACATTGTGGGAGGAAGGAAGGGAGGCCCTTGGGTGTGTGTGTGTGTGTGTGTGTGTGTGTGTGTTTGTGTGTGTAGGGTGGGGGGATTGTAAACATCGCCTTCCATGCAGACACATTAATGTGGCTTGCTTCTGGAACTCTGTCCATGGCTGGGTGTTCTAGAGCTGTTTTTGCCCAGGTTATAGCATCCTGCCTGCTCAGGGAGATGAAAGCCTGCAGAGATGGATGGGTTAATGGTCACTTCCATCTATGTGTCACAACCTGCTTGCTGATCATGGTTGAATGTATTGTTTGCCTGGAGTCCATAACTGATTTTGGAATCTTTAAGGGAGGACAAGTGTCTTCCATTCAGACCCAGGTCCTATCACTCCTATGCCCTATTTATTTAGACATTTGTATTACCTTCTTGGCCTCTGTGGATAGTGTAATATGCCTCTAATAACCCAGCACTTCTGAATTTTATTGAGAGGTTTGCCTTAATGACAGTAATCCAAGCCAGGAAATCCTTAGGCTCAAAATCTTTGGAGAAGCTAATTTGTTTTTTTTGTCTTTCCCCACAGCATCCAGCTCACCCAGCACACATGGTGAGCTTTCAGTATGTTCAACCCTACGTTGGGCAGTGTCAAGGGTACAAAGACATTTGAGTTGTGTAGTTGTGTTCTCCCTGCCTGGTCTCAAGAGACTCACACATACATTTTCAAAAATATGATTAATTCACATAAAGCAAGAGTCAACAATTATTTTAGGATAAGTAGATTTAAACTCATTTGTGGGGCTCTAGTCACAAACATCATATTTTGGAAGACAGAAATCCTAACAATAATCACGATCCATTGCAATAGGCTGTTGGGTCACTGGAAAATCATAATAATGATCATGGTCTTTAGAGAGAGCTATTGGGTAATTGGAGTTGGGTTTAAAAGTGCAAATTGTGGAGTAAAGGACTGTTTATGGTGGGAGAGAAACTTACCAACAAATGTAGAAACTAAGGAATGATCCATAGAGTTCATTTGGAGGTAATAAATGCAGTCTCTCTCTAGAAGAGGTGCAGCTGTGTACATGGGAGAACAAATGTGGGGAAAGACTGAAAGAGCAGGAATGAGGCCTTTTGAAGGAGGGCCTAGACATTTATTTTATGCAGTCACTAAGATCAATTTTTTTAAAGTAGGCATACACATACACAGTAAAAATTCCAGAATTAATTTAGCCTAGGAAGCATGAGTAAATTGATATATTTTTCTTCATACCTGGAAACATACCATAGACATTGTTTTTCCCTTTTTTTGTTTTTTTGTTTAGCAACATGAACACATTTTCTTTTTAAACTTTCTTTACTGCCTACATAGTGTTCTTTGGTGGAACAAAACACAATTTATCTTCAATTTTGTGTTCTTGGATATTTCATTACTTGAAATCTTTTGTTCAACAAAATAATGCTGACACGCACCTCATGTGTAGAAGAAGTCTTGTCACAGCAATGAGTACAGATGTAGGAGAAATTCCTAAGGGTTGAATTGACAGATCAAAGGGTGTGTGTATTTTCAATGCTGATATTGCCTATTGTCCACCAGTTGTACAAATTTTCACTCTCACCAAAAATTGTATAGAGATGGCTCTTGTACCATACTTGTCCACTAAATATTACCAAAATTTTTTATCTTTGTCAATTTAGAAGTAAAAAATTGTATTTTATACATTTATAAATTTGTTTTGAGGTAGGCACATCACCTTTTAGTGTATTTATTTTCTTTTCTGTGAAATATCTGTTCCTATCCTTTGCCCACAGGTATTAGACAAAAGATTTATTATTGGGAAAAAATCACATTGATTTATAAATGCTTTTCAATATTAAGAAAACTAGCTCTTTATGTATTACATTTTTTGTCCTCAGTTTGTCTTTTGATGTATATGATGAGTTCTTATTTTTGTTTTTTTTGTTTTGCTTTGTTTTGTTTTTGTTTTGGTGGTGCTGGGGATTGAACCCAGGGCCTTGTGCATGTGAGACAAGCACTTTACCAACTGAGCCATATTCCCAACCTTTATGATGAGTTTTTGTAATGCAGAAAATTTTGCATTTTATGTAGTTTAATTTGTTAGTTTTCTGTGTTTCAAGTCACACTTAGAAAGATTTTTTTTCCTTCTCTGAAGTTATAAAAAAAGTTCTAATTCTTTATATACTCATAGTTTAATTTTTAAATGTTTATACCTCTGCCCATTTAAACTTTATTTTTGAGTCATGAGTGAAGTTGTTAGATGTATTGGTTAAGAATTGTGTTCAAGGGGCTGGGGATGTGGCTCAAGTGGTGGTGTGCTCGCCTAGCATGCGTGAGGCACTGGGTTCAATTCTCAGCACCACATAAATGTAAAATAAAGATATTGTGTCCACCTAAAACTAAAAAATAAATACTAAAAAAAAAAATTGTGTTCAAAAACATGGAACAGGGGCTGGGGCTGGGGCTCAGCGGTAGAGCACTCGCCCAGTACGTGCAAGGCCCTGGGTTCGATCCTCAGCACCACATAAAAAATTAAATATTTAAATAAATAAACAAATAAAATAAAGATATTTTTTTAAAAAAATGAGACAGAAATTTATCTACCAAACAGAGTTTCTCAGAAGCTTCTGGATTTCCCTTAGGACAAAAGAAGTCTGGAAATAGCATTGTTTTCACTCTTCTAACAACAACACAAAAAAACACAGGACATACTGCAAATTTACAATTTTTCTTAAGTTAAACTTAATCCAAGACAGATTCTTCCAAGGAAAACATGGTACAGGTGCATTTGCTTATTTGGGGATGACTCTCTTCCTACCACCATCAAGCTGGTAAGAATTCAGCTAAAGTATTTTAAAAATTTTTATTGGGGCTGCAATTGTGGCTCAGTGGTAGAGTGCTTGCCTAACATGTGTGAGGTACTGGGTTTGATCTTCAGCACCAAATAAAAATAAACAAATAAGCCAGGCGCAGTGGTGCATGCCTGTAATCCCAGCAGCTCAGGAGGCTGAGGCAGGAAGATTGCAAGTTCAAAGCCAGCCTCAGCAATGGCGAGGTGCTGAACAACTCAGTGAAACCCTGTCTCTAAATAAAATACAAAATGGGGCTGGGGATGTGATTCAGTGGTTGAGGGCCCTGGATTTAAATCCCTGGTACTCCAAACAAACAGACAAAAAATAGGTAAAATAAAGATATTGTGTCCATCTATAACTAAAAAATTAAAAGAAATTTAATTACATATTTATGGGGTCCAGTTGACTATTTCAAGACATGTGCACATGTGCTGATCAAATCAAGTACTTAATGTTTGCATCTCCTTATCATTATTTTGTCTTTGGAGACTCTGCATTCCTGTCTTCTACTTATTGATAAAATAGGTAACAGTTTTAATGAATTGCTAAAGACCAAGTATAGGCCAGCATGAGAGTACAGAAAATTGGGACCCAATACTCCACAGGGAATTCAGACTCACTTCCAGGCTCTTTTCCACAGACTTTAATGCTCTACTGTATGTTCATAAGAAGTCCTGTGAGCAGTGGGCGAATCTTGAGAAGTCTGTCTCCCTTGTGGAATAGGCTTGGAGAAAAACACCAAGCCCTTCTCTGATCCTCTCCCTATCTTCCCTGTGGGAACAAATCCTTAAGTTGCTGAGTTAAAGGTCAGTAAATCCTAACATGAGACATTAAATTATGAATTGGTGAAGACCCATTGCAGTCAGAGAAAGGGAAAAAAACCCAATAACAACAACAAAACACTTCTATCCTTGTAAGCCCCAGACAATTAGAAGTCTTCCATCTGACGGTGGGGTAGGATCATGGAAAGGCTCTACTCCTGAGACCCAAGGTCACAGTGTTGGTCTAAAACTAATAATGAATCAGAAAAGCAGAGAACACCCCCTTTACCATAACCATCACCACTACCAGCCAGGCTAATAAGCAATAAATAAAAACAGCAATCTACTGCTGAATGGTCATGAAGAACATAAAGACATTTCAACAGGCCAAGGAGAACATGTAAACCAAGAGTAGAACAGATACTGAGAAAACCTCTGGCAAACTAGCCTCAAACGTAAATACAAGACAATGTTAGAGAGAGCTGGAGTCTATAGTGCACCGACAGTAATAGAATAAGAACAAAACCCAAACATGGCTCAGTTCCTGACGAGGCTGGATCGGTCTCCCACACTAACGGCCCAGCAGAAAAAAAAGGGTAACCATTTCCAGGCATGCAAACAACCTAGCTCAGTCTCTGCAGTCTTATAATAGATTTTCTTCTTTCAACAACATAGTATTATGAAGCAACCTTCCTGATCAGATGGGCAATCTCAACAGAAAATGGGAACTGGAAGAAAGAACCAAATGGAAATTCTGGAAGTAGAAAACATAGTAACTTTTGTTTACTTTTGTCAGGTTCATCAGTACTCTTGACACAGGGAAGGAATGAGTCAGTGAACCTGAAGATAGTTTGATAAAAATCATCCAAAGATAAAAGTGAAAAAAAAAACATAACAAAACCAGAATAGAGCATCCAAGAGCTGTGACATAACATATAAGCCATTGGCCTCCTAGAAGCAGAGGAGAGAGACAATGGGACAAAAGAAATATTAGAAAAGATAGTGGCCAAGCGTTCTTCAAAATTGATGACAAACACCAAATCAGAAATTCGGGAAGCTGTTCAGCTTTGGTGATTTGCTACTAAATAACATCATGCCAAAATCTTTAAATGTTTTATCTGATGAAAAATAAAGACAACTTAAATTTATAATATGCCACTTTTACTCACTTGCGTTCCACACATGATTTGCTCTATGAAAGAGTTCAAATTACAACATGTAAGTTGGAAATTGTGCACTGAAGTACACTGAGCTTTTGAATATCATTTATCAAATGTATCAGGGCAGAAAAAACGTTGAGAGCTGCTTCTCTAAAGAACAGATCTTGCCAAAATCAGGTCATCTTTGGCACAGGCACATTCCCGGTAGATGGAGGAGGGGCTATCATCTGTCATGTCTTGACAAGGTTTATTTTGATCCAAGTTCACAACATACTCATTAATCATCTGCTCCACCAGCCAGACAGATGTTGAAAGGAAGCCAGGGGTTACAACTTGACAGAAATGCATTAGCACAAGGGAGGAGAGAACATCATCTCATAACTAGCAGGCTTGGGCAGAGACTTGTACTATTGCTGGCAGGGATGCTAATGGAGCATGGTGGGGATACTGTGCACACAGAAGCAGAAGAGGGATTAGAACAAAGAGCAACCAGCTCACATATTATCCATTCTGATTGAGAGCAGCGGAAAGGTCAGGAAGGAGTTGAAATAGGTTAAGTATGGGGAACTTACAGCTGGGGTATTGTTAATTCTGGTCAGACCTCCCCTTCCTGCTCCCCCATACCTGGTTTCTTGGATGCACAGCTTGGCTAGCCAAGACTGTGAGTCATGATCAAGAGGACCAGCAGAGAGGGCTACTCCATTTTCCACCCATCAATCAGCTTCATTTTACAGGCTACTGTTTCACTAGAGTACGAGAAGTAGCTGTAGTTTTTTCTCTTGGGAAAACTGAAAAAAAATGAGGGAGGGAGAGAGAGAGAGAGAGAGAGAGAGAGAGAGAGAGAGAGAGAGAGAGAGAGAGAGAGAGAGAAAGAGAGAGAAAAGAGAGAGGTTGGGAGAGAATTTAAAGGTTTTTTGGGGGAGGGGGTGTGAGGGAGTGATTTTTACAATATGAAGTAAGTAGGTGAAAAATACTGATTGGAATAAAGTTATGGGTTAAAAAAACAAAACACCCCCTACCCCCTCAAAAAAACCCCAGCATGTGAACTTATTTGAGAACCATGGATGCAACCATATAAAAATGTACCCATGAGAAAAGACCAGGAAGAAATACCCCAGACTGATGGCAGTGTTTATTAGTGGGGTAAAAAGTTGTGTATATTTTTTCCATTTTTTCTGAATATGCCATTGTACATCTGTAGTTTAAGACAGTATTTCAAAAGTAAACCTTGGGGAACTTTCAACACAATGATAAAAGAAGTTGATTTAGACCACACCTTCTCAGAACAACTAGAAGATTGACAAAACATATTTTTTTAAAAAAAAAATCTGTTTGAAAGTATTGCATAACCACCAAAGTGATGAACAGTTATGGGGCCAAGACTTGGGTGAGAAGGGAAGCTTACTTAGGTGAGCTTGACATTTGGGGCTGTCCTTCCCCATAATACTATTGTTGATGACAAGAACTAACAGGCTAAAAAGCAGAAAATTTGACATGTTCATAGGATAAAGGGAACAAAAATTGGAAATCGGGGCCTGACAAGGAGAAGGGGCTCTGGAAAGCACCAAAGTGGTTTTTGGTTTAATCCTAAGGGGCTCTGCCATGGCAATAAGTATGAACTGGAAATGGACAAGCCCTCGGAGAGAGGGAATCCACTCTGACTGAACTATGGTAG